AAACTTTAGAATATATGTTTATACTTTAAACTTACAATTTTTATTATTTATTTTTAATTTTTAAACATTATAATTTGTATTTTTAAAAACATATGAAATATTATAATTAAAAATTTAATTTTTAAAAATTCAAAAAAAAAAGCGCTTACGGGCCTGACCCTGAACTTTATATATAAAAGGGTCGGGTTTTAAAAAGTAAAATATTTTAAAAAAATCAAGCTTAAAAGCTTGAACTTGGCCAAACTCATCTGGGTTAGGTTCGTTTGTTTTTCAACTCTAATAAGAAAGTCAGGATGTGGAGGGATAGTTAGGGACCGCACAGAAAATTTTTTGGTAGGATTTATCCATAGCATGAACGAAGGAGATAGTCTTTTGTCAGAACTCTTGGGAATTCTCCACGGCCTACACTTTGTTTGGGAGATGGGCTTTCGAAATGTGAAACTCCAATTGAACTCCGCGGAAGCCATAAGATTAAGTTCATGCACAGACATTAGCGCTAATCCTAATAAAGACATTCTAGCAGAGATCGTTAATCTTAGGAGGCGAGATTGGACCTTGCAACTTTCACACTTCCCGCGTACTGCAAACGCAGCTACCCACCATCTTGCTCAACAAGTTCTGGTCATGTAGCGCGGTTTTTATACTATTAGTTTACCCTCAGATTGTCTTTTTCGTTTATTGAACAAGGGCATGCCTGGTGCCAGGGCTTGATTTAAGCTCTTGTATTATATTAAAAAAAAAAAATCTCCCAATATTATATTATTCTTGGTACAAAATTTCTCTATCACAATGACGCGAGAATCGAGCTAGGAACAAAAGACGAAGATCACGAAAACGAAGAGTAGAAAAGAAAGCGAAGACCAAGGGCCAGGCGGACCCAGTGAGGAATGGCCAGACCTTGAGTCAACGATCTTGGCCTTGCTTACCAAACGCCAACCAACCCGTCCTTTATTTGAATTGTATTGTTTTTCTTTTTATTTTAAGCCACCTCTTTGAATTGTATCCTCTATTGTAAATTAGTGCATAAATACTAACATTTTTATAAATTACACTCCCTCCCAATTTTATTTATTAAAAATTTTTAATCGATGAGTTAAGTAAAGGTATTAGACTTAGTTGATCATCTTAATTTGTAAAAACTTATCATGGCGTTTCAAGATTATACATACTTAATTAATTGAATAAATGTATAAGGTTCTCTGTTTTTTTGACATGTAAAGTAAAAGGTCAAAAAATTCACACATGGTTCAAATATTTTGTTTGCAGTGCAGAATGCATAGAAAAACGCGGAGGAGATCATGATGGGATTCATCATCAGAGCACTGAGAGAAGCGCTGCAGCCGATCCTAACAATCACAAACAGGAGTGTGCAGGAAAGAGAATCCCAATTCGAAGACAACCATTTTTAATTATGTGCAAGGCATTCTTCGCACCAGAATATATTTTTTTCAGTATAACATCTACATTGTAATCAGGTGTGGAGACAAGAGGATGAGCAGAGGTTATAGCTCCCTAACATTTTAATTTATTTTAATAAAATGTAAGAATTATATATTTTTAATTTTTTAAGTTAATACATTATAGAAGCTTTAAAATACTAAATAGAATTTTCATTTCAATTTTATAATAGTACAACTGTTGTAATAGTTTAAGGATATAGTTATTACAAAATTTACTTATTTTCAACAAGATAACATTATAATTGCTCTTAAAACATTGATATCATTTTATTTTACTTTTATTTTATATTTTAAAAAATATAAGAATTATTACTATCAAACTTTATAAAGCATAGCAACAAAAATTTTCAAAATATATTAAATAAATATTATATCAATTGACAAAATTAAATGATAAATTCAATAGGTAAGTAATAGAATTTTTTTATATTGAACAGAATTTTAAATCCTAAAAGTGTATTTAAATTAATTATTTAATGTTTATAGAGAAGATAAAATTTTTGTCAATTTAATGACAGTTTATATTAAAAATAAAATTTTTAAAAATTTTATCATAAATATAATAATTAATTGTTCTCATGCCATAAAAAAATTAATGAACAAAATTTTAAAAATGAAGATATATATTTATTTTTATTATATATATGTGTGTGTAAAATTAAATATAAATTTATAAATTAATATATTTATTTCATATTAGTGTTATATATAAATTTAATTTTATTTCAATTATCATGTATGCTTTTTCATTTTGGCTACCAGTAAAATTTTTTGACTCTACCCTTGCTCGTAACCTACGCTAATAGTTTGCCTCTTTATATTGCAATAAATATTTTATCTCCAAATTAATTGCAGAGAAATTTTATTTTATTTTATACTTGTTCTGAATTCTTAGATCTGTTGGATTTGATGATCTATTATTTTCATGATAAACTGGACAAGAGTATCATGCGTCATTCATCGCAAGAAACGTAAACCCTTATATTTAAAGTATTATTTTACATTTATTAAAATAAAAATTTATAAAAATTATAAAAAAATTTGTTTATCGTCAATCTGATTTAAAATTAATTTGAAGGGTCTAATTTAATTTTAAATTTTTATAATTTTTATATATTGATTATTTACATGTACCTACACAATCTATATTTAAAATTTTTAACTTGTAATTTTTTAAAAAATGCCAGTTTTATATATTTTAATTTTAAATAGTATATTTATCAAAATAAAAATTTATACAATTAAATTGAACACTTTAAATTAAATTTAGATCAGATTGATAACAAAAAAATTATAAATTTTTTCATAATATTTTATAATTTTTATAAAATTTTATTGTAATAAATATACTCTCTTTATTAAAAAATATAAAGTATTTTTTAAGGGGTTGGATGTTAAGAAATGTAAGACATTGTATCTTTTAAGGTGTAATTATTATTTTTTTTAAAAAAAATACCCTTATGACTTTATATTTTTTTAAAAGTGAAATACTTTATTAAATACGAATAAATATGAAAGGATATTATTGATTTAAAGATAAGTAATTACTTTATTAGGAATAATATTTAATTAAAAATACTTTATATTTTTTAATGAAAAGAGTAAAATAAAAATCTAAAACAATACTTATTATCTAAATCAAAATCTGAATAGTTCAGATTTAAATTTAAATAATTCAAATTTTATCACATTAATGAGTACCATATGCTCATCAGTGTGACGCTATGATGAGCGTTGAAGTTGAGCACTTATTGTTAGTCCATTAATTTGAAGGATCTAATTTAATTTTTAATTTTTATAATTTTTATATATTGATTATTTACATGTACCTACACAATCTAGATTTAAAATTTTTAACTTGTAATTTTTTAAAAAATGCCAGTTTTACATATTTTAATTTTAAATAGTATATTTATCAAAATAAAAATTTATAAAAAATTTAATATTAAATTGAACACTTTAAATTAAATTTAGATCACATTGATAACAAAAACATTATAAATTTTTTCATAATATTTTATAATTTTTATAAAATTTTATTGTAATAAATATACGCCTTTTATTAAAAATATTTTTTAAGGAATTAGATGTTAAAAAATGTAAGACATTGTAAGTTTTTTAAGGTGTAATTATTATATTTTTTAAAAAAATGCCCTTATGACTTTATATTTTTTTAAAGTGAAACACATTATTAAATACGAATAAATATGAAAGGATATTATTGATTTAAAGATAAATAATTACTTTATTAAAAATAATATTTAATTAAAAATATTTTATATTTTTTAATGAAAGGAGTAAAATAAAAATTTAAAATAATACTTACTATCCAAATCAAAATTTGAATAGTTCAGATTTAAATTTAAATAATTCAAATTTTGTCACATTAATGACTACCATATGCTCATCAGTGTGATGCTATGATGAGCATTGAAGTTGAGCACTTATTGTTAGTCCATTATTAATGCTTCTGTCTAAAACGGCGTCCGGTCGCGGTGCTCAACAGTGGTACTCATTATAAAAAAGCATTTGAGCCATCCAAATTTTCATCTAAATGGTACAGATTTTTTTAATTTTAATTTTAATTTTATAAAAATAAAATTAATAATTTTTTGATAAATATTTTCTTCATCAATTTTGATAGTATTAATTCAATTTGAGACTCTACGTAATTCAATTCAATATTATAATTTTTATAAATTGATTATCTAAATGTACTTTGGACAAGACAAATTTAATATTAAATTTTTTAATAAGTTTTTATTTTAATAAATATAAAATAAAAATAAAAATTTTAAATCTAGGTCTTGTAGATAAAAATTTAATGTTGAATCTGGACTGTTTAGAGTACATTCAGATAGTTAATTTATAAAAATTATAATATTAAATTGACCCATTCAAATTTAATCAGTACTATCTAGATTGATGATAAATATATTTATCAAAAAATTTATAAATTTTATTTTTATAAAATTAAAATTAAAATTGAAAAAATTTGAACCATCTAGATGAAAATCTGGATGGTTCAGATGCTTTTTTATGATGAGTAATGTGGTGCTCAGCAATACGTAGAGTCTCAAATTGAATTAATACTATCAAAATTGATGATGAAAATATTTATCAAAAAATTATTAATTTTATTTTTATAAAATTAAAATTAAAAAACTAAAAATATTTTTATAAAATGAAAATTAAAATTAAAAAAATCTAAACCATTTAGATAAAAAATGGTCCAAATATTTTTTTATGATGAATACTGCTGAGCACCGAAACTGGACGCGTCTAAAACGTCCCCACCAAGATAAATACAAACGCCACGGACGCAAGACATGGTGGATTTTCACGAGTAAACGAGGCCCGACGACCTTGACTTGCATGCTAGCAATTACATACTCTCTCCACGTCACAAATACTTTATCTACTTCCATAGATTTCTTTTTTTTTTTTGATCTATTTGTTTCATGATACAAGCAAAAGAAGAATCATAATCAAAGTCATATAAAAAACAAAGAAAGATAGATAGAAAGATCAGCTCACCGCCACACAAAAAAAAAAAAAAATCCTTACAAACGAGAGATAGAAGAGGTAACAGGGAGGTAAGACAAAAGTGGCGTAACAATTGTGTTTCAATCTACGCTCTCACATGCGTGTAGCTTGCTTCGATCGGAGTTTCTTACAACGGTAGCCAGAAGAAGGATTAGAAAGTGAATAATCTTCTCTTGTCTCCTGCGTATTAACATGATAACTGTTGTTCTACTTTATGCTTTTTTACTATGGCTTGCTCCGCCCTGCTTAGCTAGATATGTTTTGAAGATCGGTGAAAACTTAATTGACAGTGAACATTCCAAGCTCGTTTCAGTTGGAAAAAGCTTTGAACTGGGTTTCTTCACCCTTGATGCAAGCTCAAACGGCAAATACCTTGGAATAAGGTATCATAGGTTAGAACAACATACAGTTGTCTGGGTTGCTAACAGGGACAATCCCATCCCAGCTTCAAAAGCTGGAAATTTTCAAATTTCCCAAGATGGAAATCTCATTGTATTAGATACAGAGGGGACACGTTATTGGTCTTCCAGAATCAGACCCGGTCATGCATCTTCTATCGCTAACTCGACAGTGAAGCTTATGGATTCTGGGAACTTAATTCTAGGAGACGATCAATTTCAAGTGACCTACTGGCAAAGCTTCGAACACCCGACGGACACATTCCTGGTGGGCATGAAAATGGATAAAGATTTAGTCTTGACTTCTTGGAAAGCTTCTGATGATCCAGGGAGTGGGGACTTCGCATTCGCAATGGGAAAAACAGGGAACAATCCCTATCAAATATACAGAAACCAGACCCAAGTTTACTGGGCAAGCGAAACACATCCAAATTTCGGTCCAGAAGTACTGCTCAGCAAGATAAGTTTTCTGCTGACTAACTTCACTTCAAAAAATGTTACTTTTGCAAATGAAAGCAGGCCAAGTATTTTACGTCCTTCGAATTATGTTAATACAAGGCTAGTGATGAATTATACAGGAGAGATAAGCCTTCTGAAATGGGATGAGCTTGCCCAGGGATGGTCGCTAGAGTGGCATGAACCCGATCACCAGTGCAAGGTATTTAACATCTGCGGGAAATTCCGCAGTTGCAATATCAAGAACAAGCAATTTGTCTGTAAATGTTTGCCTGGATTCTTTCCTGAGTTGGCGCCGGAGGAGAATCAGATTCAGTCTTCTGTGCCTGGAGAAGTATACAAAGGCTGTATCAGGAATAAAACATCATGTGGGGAAAACACGACAACATTCATAGACCTGAAGAAGGTGAAAGTAAGAAACCCAGACAAACAAGTCGACGCAGCGAATGCAACAGAGTGCCAATCTGAGTGCCTTAGTGATTGCCTCCGTTGCACGGCTTATTCATACAATGCATCAAGAAGTGCCGATCGCAGTAGTAACGCGTGTTTCATTTGGACTTCTGTTTTACCTACTCTTCATAAGTCTCCTGATCAGGGCCTTGATCTTTCTGTCTTGGTAAATAAACAAGATATAGGTACTTATAAATCATCACCATATAATCTCAGCAAAAAGATTCTTGCTTTACTTAATCTATTCTGTCTTAGATTGTCTAACACGAAACTGGCACAGAATCAACAGCAAGAACTTGCAAACCTTGCGGTACAGACACAATTCCTTATCCGCTGAGCACTGAGCTAAGTTGTGGGGATCCCGCTTACTTCAATTTCAACTGTGACTTGTCAACCGGGAATGTTAACTTCATGGTGAGAAAAGATAATTATACAGAAAAAGATAGTTATAGAATTAATTACATTGATCCAGTCTCGAGAACGTTCTCTATCCAATTCGGGGATTCGTCTTCTTGCGCTGCTAGCAATCTTGCGAGCCGGCTTGATCCGTCATTTAGTGTGACTAAACAGTGTGATGGTGAAGGCGAGGTAATGATTAGTTGGTTACCCCCACAAGAACCTCCCTGTAATAACTCCCTCGACTGCAATGCTTGGTCTCATTCAACTTGCAATCCTGCCAGATATGGAGTTGGAAGATGCCTCTGTGCTAAAAACTATCGATGGAATGGCAACGATTTAAGCTGTAAGCCAGGTAAAGGCTTTGCACATTCTCCATGCACTGCACCCCTGTTTGTGTGGGTAATGTGAATTACAGAAATGAGCCCTTGCATTGCTTGTAACTTATAGATGTTATGATCAGATAAAATAAAATAAAATAAAAACTTATAAATGTCATGATATGTTAGGCTTTTTATATTATTATCTAGATTCTCCATGTTAGAGTACCTGTATATACTCAAGTGGGAGCTGTTCAAGTGTACCAAGCCATAAAAATGATTTGAGCGTAACCTGGACAGGAATTAGCAAGTAGGGAAGCATTAGGATTTGTGGCCAAAAACAAGGAGGCTTCAAGATTGTTGGGAGTAGGAGATTGATGTGGAGGATCATAACTAGTGATACCTTCTTTGTTGTTAGTATTGAAATTCCTAATTGTCTTGTCTTGCCGAAAATTGATATAATTGAATTCCTAGTTATATGATTAGAGTAACCTTCTTTGTTGTTTGTATTTAAATTCTTTCATATTTGACTATTCCTCTACTTGGTTTGAGCCAAGTGATACGAACTCAGTAAGCATGCCTAATTTCTAGAGTATTTTAGCCTTTTGAGCCAATGACAACCATTCAGTTTAATTTACTGAATATATATAACGCCTAGACGATATAGAAGTAACAAAGGAACGGTACGCTTATGGCAAGCCTCAATTCATAGAGATTTGGCTTCCATACGAGGCTAAGGAATCTAGTGCGCTTTTTTACTTTGGTTTTACAAATATTGAACCTTTCACCATTTTTTATTTAGAGAAGAAACCGTGAACAATAAATGAATGATAGGAATGACTAGATATTGAGGCAATAAATATGTGTCTCTGTGTATAAAAGAATGTCTTGATAGTATTCTCATCAATCTTACAGTATATGCAAGTGTAATAGATGGAGACATAGAAAGTTTAACTACTGTTGACAAGACGCAACTTAATGCTGTCAGGCTAACTATTCTGTACTCAGATTGCTGTCAAGCTTTAATATATTATGATTCTCTAACAGTCCAAAATGCTCGAGAAAATATTATTACTATTATTAGTGCGCCCGCAAATGAAGTACACGTTGGTTTTACAATTTCAATGGCATTCCTCAATATCTTGTGTAGAAGCTAATACATTTCTTTGTCAATAGTGTCTTCAAGAATCAGGTCTAAAATTTTGATATTAGCAGCGATATTTTCAAGCTTGATTTTCTTGGCTTGCGTTGTACCTACTTATCTTTGGAGAAGAAAAGTAGCCTTTAAGCAAGGTAATACATTTTTTGCTTACTAACATCTAAGCATTCAACATGATCTGACTGTTAAGATTATAATCATAAGTCTTAAATTCTATTATGCGTTTATGTTTGCATGTATTATACGTGTTCAGAAAAGGGAAAAATTCAAAGAACAAGGAAGAGCCTACACGACAGTGAGAGATATCTCAAAGATTTGTTGGATGTCGAGAGATTAGAGGAAAACGACAGTGAAGGGATAGAGGTGCCGTATTTGGATTTTGATAGCATCCTGTTAGCCACAGATAACTTCTCAGATGTGAACAAGCTTGGACGTGGGGGTTATGGACCTGTCTACAAGGTGATTGATTTAGTTCCACTTTCTTAATTGATTTCTAAACTACAGACATATACTATATGGATAATTTTTCTTACAGGGCAAGCTTCCAGGAGGTCAAGATATTGCAGTAAAGAGGCTTTCAAGTGTTTCTTCGCAAGGATTGAAGGAATTCAAGAATGAAGTTGTTTTGATATCCAAACTTCAACATCGAAACCTTGTCAGACTTCGGGGCTACTGCATAACTGGAGAAGAAAAGATATTACTTTATGAATACATGTCAAACAAGAGCTTGGACACATTCTTATTTGGTAAGTTACAACGCTTAACTCTCTATAGCTTCAAGCATGACACAAGTTTGATGAAATTAAAGAAAAAGAAAATGTTGGTGCAGATCGTACACAAAGAATGATTTTGGATTGGCCAATGCGATTTGACATAATTCTAGGAGTTGCTAGAGGGATATTATATCTTCACCAAGACTCTAGGTTGAAGGTGATTCATAGAGATTTGAAAACAAGTAATATTCTTTTAAATGAGGATATGCAACCAAAAATTTCAGACTTTGGACTCGCAAAAATATTTGGTAGCAAGGAGACAGAGGCTAATACTGAGAGAATAGTTGGAACTTAGTAAGCTTGATGAGTCTTTACCTTATTGAATATTAATCTTCAAGCATGTTTACAGCAAGAAACATTATGATTTTGTTTTCTTTTACATTTTGTAGTGGATATATGGCTCCAGAGTATGCATTGGATGGACTTTTCTCAATTAAATCAGATGTTTTTAGTTTTGGGGTAATAATGCTTGAAATTATTAGCGGAAGAAAGAACACAGGATTCTTTCAATCCAAGCAAGCTTCCAGCCTACTTGGTTTTGTATGTTTCATCTTGTCCCTCTCTTGGCTTAATGTTCTTTTGCATTATGGTGATTCCCTGTTTATGTGAATGAATATGCAGGCATGGAGACTATGGACAAAGAATAACTTGTTGGATTTGATGGATCAATCTCTAAGTGGAAGTTGCAATGCAAACCAATTTGTTAAGTGTGCACAAGTTAGTCTATTGTGTGTACAAGATGAACCAGGAGACAGACCCACCATGTCACAAGTTTTGATAATGCTTGAAAGTGAGATTGCAAGCCTCCCAACCCCAAAGCAACCAACCTTTTTTATGACCAGTGCCAGGGGCCTTTCAAGCTCTACTTCTTCTAGTAAACCTGAAGGAATTCTTCCAACTGATAGTTCCTATCAAGAGAGTCGGTAGTGCATGATGTGTTCAACGCGCATTGGATTGAATCCTATTAGAAAACCTAAAAGCAACTTTTCATTGAACTTATTGGATATCTGCTCTTGTAAGAGAATGACTATTTGAAGCACTATACATACATATATCAAATAAATGTTATATTCATTTTTTGCTATTCTTCTGATTACTTTTCAGAATGGTAGTTATCTTTATTACACTCCTCATGTTAATGCAATTTGTGATTATATTGATAATTTTAAAAGTGAAACAAGGGAAGTGCTTTGATCTAAGAGGGTGCTGTGATCATCATATTCAATAAATCCTGCTGATATTCTAGCGAACTAGCTTATGTAGGTGCCTTCATCAAATGGACAAGCATTTGAGACTAAAGAGTAGTATAAAATTTTGTAGTGATATAAATCAATTTGTTAGCCGTGCAGACTTATATACAGAATGATGGAAGTGGTAGGCCCACCATGTCAGACATTGTGACAATGTGTTGTAGGAGAGAGATTTTAGTCCTACTGGGCTGTAAAGCAAGAACCAACCGTTTTCCCCCTTTTGGTGAGGAGAGGGGTTTCTACTTCATCTTCTTCTCCAATTAAACCAGCAGAATAAACCTGAATTCCAATATGCCATGCAAGTCAAACAACTAACCATATTAGCTTTTGTCTATCAAGTATAAGAGGAATTTTTGTAAAGTATCAAGAAGAATTTCACGTGATAATGTCACCTGAGGGGTGAAAGATATGAAGACTAAGGTACTATCATCACTCCAAAAAGGACAAATAAAAGATATGACACTTTGTGAAACTCGTACTCTCTAGTATAAAAGTCCACTATTTGAGAGGGTAGATATTTATTTATTTGCTTATCTTTTTTTTTTTAAAAAAAAGGAAGACTGTGTATCCAAATTTTAATATCAACTCTTACATATTTTGACTATTAATTATTTTTTAAATTATATAAACTAAAAAAAAACGGAAGACAAGGAAAAATTGGTGTGTGAGACAGATTCTCAATTCAAATTCCACAAAAAATTTGTTGTCAAAAGAATGTTAAAAAAAACTTTACAATTATTAGTCTGCATCTGTTTTACCATCAGAATTTAACAAAGTAGAATGGCACAAAAGTTTCAGTTTTTTCTGGTTGGGTGATCAAGTGGAAGTTCCATTAAACATCATCAAAAGAGGACAAGGAGAAACAATCAACAAAGACACCACGCTGCGAAAACGACAAACGAGCAAAGGCCAGAACAGAAAAGAAAGCGAAGAACATGAAAAAACAAAACAAACCAACCCAGGCCAACTAGTGAATTATCCATTTCCAAAACTTCTGCAGTTGAGTTGATTTATTTAAGGTTAATAAATGACTGATTATAAAATATTCTTTATACAGTTAAAAACTATCTGCGTATTGTCTGATGATAAAAACATAAATATATAAAATATTTATTTATTTTGTTTTTTTTAATTTTTTTTCCTCTACCTATATTTACTTATGAGAAGGGATACAAGTCATCTTTCTTTTGACACGTCAATATTATTTCCATCCAATATAAGTCCATCACATAACCATAAATATAATTTGGTAGGACTATGCAATTTGTCAGCACTTGATCGGTTGTTCCCAACATTGAAATTTCATCCCCAAATTAATGCGAATAAGCTTTTTTATTCTTCCTCTCCACTTCCCCCCAGCAGTTCTCCTATACCCAGAAAAAAGGGTTAAAAAGAAAAGAAGAGGATCATAATGAGATTCATCATCAAGTAACGTGAGAACTGTTGCAGTGGTTCTCTTCTCTCCGCAAACTGGCTGCTTTGCTTTTCTGCACTACATTTGGCTCTTGATACTTTAAAGCCTGGAGAAAAGCTTAGTGGCAATGAGACCCTTGTTTCAGATGGAGGCAAATTTGAGCTGGGTTTCTTTTCCCCTCAATAAGATTCCAACCAAGTACTCGGGAATATGGTACCGCGGGTTACTGCCTTGGGCGGTGGTATAGGATAACTCTAAGAGTGATTTAAATCCTATGTTGTTAATTGAGACATTTTGAACAATAAACAATTAAAAATTGGTGCATCCTCACCCCACTATTAATTTAAAACTAAAGGCCTTTACTTTTTAAGCATGATAGAGCCTGCATTCTCTATGTACTGTATGTTTAAAAAATAATGATCATTAATGTCAAACTAACAATGGGAGTGAGAATGCATCAATTTTAATTGTTTAGAATTTAAAATGTATCAATTAATAGTATAGGGTTTAAATTACTTTTAGATTATAGTTTAAAATTCAAATTACATATTAAACTTTTTTTCAAATCACAGACAATGAAAATCTTATAGTTTCAGACATCAACGAAAAGCTAGTAGTCTTTGGGACTATATGGTCTTTATCCTTAAACTATGTAGTGAAGCTCATGGATTCAGGAAACCTAATTGATATAGCAAAGCTTTGAAGTTTGAACATCCAACTAGAGCAGCGAAAAATTTTATTAGAAGGCTGAGATAAAATATATATATATATATATATATCGCCAATATAATATAAATATTTTAACATATATATTTATATTCAATTTTATAAATATATAATAAAAATAAATATATACCTTCATTCTTTAAATTTTGTTTATTGATATTTCATGATATAAAAATAATTAGTTATCAGGCCTATAATAAACTTTTTATCAATTTCTTTCTTAACATAAACTATCATTAAATTGGTGAAAATTTCAACTATCTCATGAGCATTAAATGATTTAAATACATCATTTGAATCTAAAATTTTATTGAATTTAAGAAACTCTATCAGATGCTTATTAAATGATTTAATGATTTAAATCAGGAACTGATATGTTTGGTTTTCCCATTCCTAAAGTTGCTTCTTTTTTACCTTCTAAAAGACTTTAACTGAGATGCACTATGTGATCTGCCTGTTGGTTATAGGCAGGTTTATATTGATTGGTTTGACCTCGATATAAGTGCAATGTGTGTCACATGGATGAGGTACAATTCTTATTTCTAACGTTTTTGAGTATCTACTAGTTTTCTATTCATGTGTGATTTTTGCTACATGAAATTCCTATTTTACTTGCCCCCTTTCTATTTGCTGAAGGGAAAAGACTTTGTTTTTTCTTGATCTTTAAATCATAATCTAATTGTATCTATCGCTTACTAAATGTGAGTTTTTGTAGGAATATGAGAACAATCTGTTTCTGCATTGACAAATGTAGAATGATGGTATGATCTCCTTAAAGTTTTTATGATGCTTTTTCTCAGAACTAAAGCATATTTGCCGCTAATAAATAATTAATAAGTGAGCCAATGCCTATAGTAAGTGATCAGCTGGTAAGCCCTGCTACTTTATCAGTTCATCGCCTAGCTGATGTCAAGCGGATGGAGCCTATTGATGGGAAAAGTAGAATCAGCAAGGTAGGCCTTTGTGTGTCGTTTTTATGTCTCTTTTGGTACTGTCAACATTGATTATCTTTTCCCTAAAATTGTTGCTGCTTTTTTATTTCATAAATATTTTGTACTTGTTTTGATGTTTAAGTCTCTTGACTATTAATATGAGGAATTAGTGCCCACAAACAGTATGTAACTTTATTTCTTTTTAGTGTCCTAAATTCTTTATGAGCAGGACCGCGAGAAGTTGTTATGTAGCATTTGTGGGGTGCCTTATAGTGCTTGCATCCAGGTTAGTCTTCTATAAGTTATCATTTGGGATTGTAGTTGTTCTCACTCTTTTATTTGCAGAAAAAAAAAAAAACAGGTTGGATTTATTAATTAAAAAATTAAGAGTAGAGATCTTTGCCTGTGATTAAAAAGGAGCTTCAGATTCAAGAAAACATCCTAAAGCTTGCCTTATGGTGTCAATTTTGCTTGCTCGAAACTAAAATCTGGGTTAGATCAAATTTTTCTCTTATTTGTTTGTCCTTTCACTAAAATTCTAGAATCCTCTATTCCAAGATAGAGACCATATATATAAATCTGTTCTAAACTGATAAGGATAGTTGCTTTGATTTGGACATCATTGAGCAATCACAATTTCATTGACTAGCTTTATTTTTCTGTGTTGGTGGTCTTCATCATCTTGAGAGGAATTTAGCAGGATAATAACTGCCAAGTAATGTTGTAATATGTTCTCACAAATTGAACAAGAAAGGGGAAAGATGGATGGATTGTGGAAAGAAACATGCTTAGGAAATATAAGCAAGTGGCTCTCAATGTGTCACATACAGTAGGAACTTTTATTTGACTATAATCTATAATTTAAAAAGATATTTGCTCTAGCAAATATCATGAGTTTTGTGATTATCTATAATCTGCCTAGGACAGTAAGTTACACTTGTCAGCCTATCTTCTAGTGAAAATTTATGTTCATTGTTCTTGATTATTGTGTTGGATGGACATATGAACAAAACTTTTACTCAAAGAATTAGTAAGTTAGAAAAAAGCTGGTGGAGCATAAACTTTTTTCCTTTCTTGGGGCTTTTGAGAGGGAAGAGAAATCCAACATGTGATTATGTTGTATTTGTCAATCCTTTATTATTTTTTTGTGTTTTGATTATAGGTTGTATTCATAAAATATATTTTTCTTTTGTTGGTTTTGATTATCGGTGGTTGTATACTAATTTTTTTTAAAAAAAAACTTTGTGACAAGTTATTATTTTTCTCCATTTATTTTTAGTAATATAAGGTTTTTTGTTTGGATTGAGGCCGATAAAAAAAATTGCCCTTATTTTTTTAAAAAAGATGTCAGATTGTTTTACATCTGTTTCTTAATAAAGTGACTTGAAAACTTCATTAGGCATTAGCTACGTCGCCCGTGGAAAGGGGCATTTCCGCATCACTTTTCCTTAAAAAGTGATGTTTATTTTTCTTAACCATATCATTTTTAAAAGTGACTTGAATAGTCTAACTTTCTATGTTCCCTAAATATTATAACCCTTCAATAGTGACTTTAAAAGGTTTAAAAAAATGATGATAAAAATATTTTTTATAGTAGTAATTATTGAATTTATTATTTAATTTTTCAATTAATAATTATAATAAATAAATATATCAATATGGTAACAGTATTCAATTGTCATAAATTTTTTATGTTGATGGGATCTAATTTTATCTTAATAAAACTGTTGATATAAAAAATTTTAATTGCTTGGTTATTATG